GTGGCCAGGACCAGGTCCAACAAGGCGTTTCCCCTGCTGGGGCTGTGCACCTCCTGGGTTAGATAGAGGTCCTGTATCTCGGCTAGGAACCTACGTGAGCGGTCAGACCTGGCTGACTGCTCTTCCCAGCAGATGTCTGGAAAGTTCAGGTCACCCATGATGACCACGTCCTTTGACCTAACTACCTCCGTGAGCTGACTTAAGAATTCCCGGTCTATCTCTTCCCCTTGGTTGGGTGGTCCGTAGTAGACCCCCACCATTAAGTCCCTTTCCCCTCAACTTCCTTGCATTCTAACCCAGAGCACTTCAGTGTGCCCCTCCTCTGACCTTGTGCTACTTGTTGAGGATGTGTATTTCTCCTTGATGTAGAGCACCACACCCCCACCTTTCCTCCCTGTCCTGTCCCTCCTGTACCGCCTATAGCCCTTCATATTCACTGCCCAGTCATGCGTTGGGTCCCACCACATTTCTGTGAGCCCCACTATGTCTGGGTTGGTGTCAGCTAGCAGGAGGGTAAGTTCCTCCTGCTTGTTTCCCATACTATGAGAGTTTGTGTAGAGGCATTTGAGGCCCCCTGAAGATGCGTGCACTGGCCCCCTAATCTCAGTACTGCCCGGGCCCCTGGTGCTTACCTGGGTATTTGTTCTGCTCGTCGTGAGTCTAGGCTGGGCTGTTCTTGCAGGTGATGCTTGGTTTAGTGGTCCAAGGCTTTCTCCGCCCTTGTCTTCCCCTTCCCCGATGAGACTAGTTTAAAGCCCGCTGGGGAGATCCACCAGCCTAGAAGAGAACACGTGCTTGGAGAGATTCGGAAAGATTTGGAGATTTGGACATAGACACAGCTTTAAATGTTTTTTCTACATACCTCAAGGTAGCAGGGGCTCCAAACACTGCAATGCTGGAGCAGATGCAGCGTCCCACCGAAGCAGGGGGAGCTCTCCAGTGCGCTCAGCAGTAGACCCAGAAGTGGACCAAAAGAACTTCCCATCCACTTCCTGGGCCACCGGGGAGCGCACAGGTGGGGCCTCTCTGTGCCCCCCCGGCTCAGCAACTGGTGACTCCTGGACGGGGGGGGAGGGCCACCTGGGGTCCCCCTGTGGCTGATCACTGAGCTGGGGGGGCATGGGAAGGCCCCCTCAGCATGCTCCCTGGCAGACCCAGAAGTAAACCAGAAGTACTTCCGGTCCACTTCCGGGTTCGCTGCTGAGCATGCTGGAGAATCCCCCATGCTCTTGTGGGATGCTCCATGCACCCCAGCACCACAGCAATTACGAGCCATACCTGCTACCTCAAGGTATGTAGAAAAAACTTTTAAAGCTGTGTCTATGTCTGAATTCACTGAATCAGCATTGAATCTTCAGATTCAAATTTGGCTGAATCAAATCAGGGATAGTGATCCAAGTCAAAGGATCGAATCACTGTCCCCGATTCAGGCTGAATCTGAATTGAATAGGGCCCGTTTCACACAGCCCTACTGGTCAGATAATCTAGAGCTCTAGGTATTCTGAGCCACAGAGCAGCCCATACATAACCATGCAAAGTTGTCATCAGTTGAAGTGATCATTGGGTTCTTTCACCTTTGCTCCAACTTTCTCTGTACCACATCAATCCAGCCCAGTGCACTTATGTTTGGTGCCTGCTTTCACATACTCTTATACTTGGCTGAGACATACAGCATGGAGGTGCTGGCTGGGTACAAGCCTAATGGACAAACGGTGGTGTTTGCAAACAATTTTATAAAAGCCATCAGGGGCTTGTTTGGCAGAATTCTCAGCAGTCGCTCACTGTTACTGTAAAAAAAGGAAATGTTGAGTCGGGAGGAGATCTGAGCAAAATCCGATCCATGCACTTAGCCTTCATTTATTTTACATTTGGCATCTGCAGCTCCTAAACTATAGAAATATAGTTGTTCAAATTAATAGATGCATTATCAATTCCATATTAAATGACAAAACTTTGGCATCAACTATTGCAGTCAAACATTAGAGGAACTTTTCACAAGAAAGAGTATTTGATTTATAACATTCTTAATTCTGAGATCCTAGTTATGCAATTATTTTGTAGCAGAACCTGACAACATTCTTTATTATAAGCAGTCTGTAAAAACTGATAGGCTGAGCAGTCATTTAGCAATACTTCAACAAATATTCAAGCGCTTCTGGGCTTTGCTTATGATATCAATTTAGGTCAAGACAAGAATCTTGTAGTGACAATAATCAAACCTGGCTTCATTAGTTTTCAGGCCAGAAGACACTACTGAAATCACCCAGTCTGACCTAGTTGTGGGTAAGACAAGTTTTGTGGGGAGAGGAGGAATTGGCAAATAGTAAATTCATCAATTTTTGGGGGGGGGGGAAACAATATGATTCACAAACACAGATTGAATTCAGCAAATACTTTCTGCTGAAAAGACTGGGGATGGGGAATTTCTAAAAAGTCAAAGCTTTTCTTCTCCATATTCAAAAATGAGATGTTTTGACTTTTCCTTATGAAATAAGGCTCTTGTTTAAAGCTTCACCAACACTTATTAAAGGGTTAAGGATTTCTATACACATGTACCCAAATATGAAACAGACCGCTTTATTTCATACGCAACATTTTAAGTCAGGCCCAAAATGCATTCATTTCACTTCTTCTATTTGTAAGTTCACCCACTCAGCTGTAGTCTGAATTCCTGTTCGTGGTAGGCCTTTCACCGACTGATTCTTGCATTGCGCCCAGAACTGCTAATTGAGATGGAGCATGATGGATCGAATGGTAAAAAGGAACTGCTTTCCCCTGGATTCCTGGTAATAATTTCCATAACTGGAACAGAATTCTCACATTCACACATGTTCATTTTTATTTCTAGAAAATAACAAAGCAAGAGATTCTGCTTATATTTTTATTAGTAGGAGGGTACAGAACAGCTGCAAAATCTGGTCCTCTTAACTCCAGCTGGTTGGGAATTTCCTAACAAAACAGGTTTTCCAGCAGCAGATGCCAATTCATCAAGACTTTTGATGACTCAGAGGCAGTGGTCCAATGAAAACTAGCCTAGCTTCCTACCTGCTCACATGACAGACTGGTTAAAAGTCTAGAATTCCTCAGTGCGCATCTCTGAGGCATCTCCACCATGCAGACAACCTAGGCTCCATGCAACTAGAGCGACTGGCTCCAAGCCACAGGGTCAGGAATCTGGAAGTCACTCGAGTTCTAGCTCTAGCCGGGGCCCGCTTCCCAGCTCTGCAAGAGGGACTCTGGAAGCCAGGGAAAATCCAGCTTAAGGTGAGACTCTCAAGGCGTTCCCATACCAGCTACTAGAAATCGTTTCTGCTCACAAAGGTGATTCCTTGACAGAATGCAAGTAGAATATCAAATTGGAAAACTCCTCTTTTGAAAGCAAGAAAACAATAAAGTATTCACAAACATATAAAGTATTCTAGCAGAACTCTGAAACACTTAACATTGTAGTGACCACTGTCTTGTATAACAAAGTAGAATCCAGTTCCAGCGCTGTGATCTAACACCAGTTACATCAACTCTAAATTATTTTAACAAGCAACACTGAACATCTTTGGGATCCAGGGCATGTCAAGAAAGTTCCAATAATTTACAGCAGCTGAAAATCTGATCCTTTAGATCACAGAAAATTAGGGTTGGAAGGGACCTCAAGAGGTCATCTAGTCCAATCAGCTGCTCAAAGCAGGACCAGCCCCAGCTATCTGGAACACTGTCCAATTTTTTCTGTAGCCTCTTCGGGAGTTATCCAACTGTTTACATTCCTGAATGATGGGGGGGGGGGGGGGGGGAGAGAGAGTAAAAGCCATGTTATCCGGCACTTCATTAATCGGCATGCTCTATTAACCGGCATGCCAGTCAATGCCGATCAATGCGGCAAAAGTGAAACCAGAAGTGGCCTTAACAGCCTCATAGTCCTGGGCTTCCACCCTGGGGAGCACTCAGTATGCCGTTTGGGCCTTCCCCACAACCAGGGCGCCTGACTGGCCCAGTACCCCTTGTCCAGGCCTGTCAAGATGGTGTGCCTCTGGAAAGCTTTGTTATATGCTTCCGGGTCATCCTCACTGGTCATTCGGGGCATCTTGAATGCAGTCAGGCTGCGCCAAAGCCAATCTTGTTGACGCTCCAGCATTTGTTGCTGTGTATCCAAAATCTGGGTCAGCATCTGCAAATTTTGGCCCAACATATCGGGAGAATTCATGGCCGCTGGTTGCACTGCGTGTTGTTCTTCCAGGCTCGGGCTCTCAGAGACATTCCCAGCCAATGCACCACTTTGTGCCCGTCTGATCTCAAACATCCAGTCGCGCACCACGCAGCCCCGGATGCTCAGGGGTGTTTGCCTGTCATAGATTCATAGATTAAGGGTCGGAAGGGACCTAGTAGATCTTCTAGCCCGACCCCCCGCCAGGGCGGGAGAACAACAAAAAACCCCAAAAATAGAAATGGGACTCAAACGAGTCCAGCCAGGTAGGCATCCAGCCTCTTCTTAAAGACCCCCAGGGTAGGGGCCAGCACCACTTCCCTTGGAATAAGAAGATTTGCTTCTTGTTATTTCACTCACCCCAAGTCACCTCAGCTGGGAGTTGAACCCAGATCTCCCATGTGGTAGGTAGGAACACTGCCACAAAGCCACCACCAATGGCTGTCCATCCCTGCTGTCCCGCCGAGTGGATGTCTCTCTCCCAAATAGTCTCTCCCCCAATCTCGCCTGCCACAACTTTGTATCTTATTCCAGTGGTGGGGTGTCCGACTGCTGGGGTTCTCTCGAGTATGGGACAGCTGGATGATGATCTTTTGCGAGGCTCCACCTCCCCTCTACCTCGCCCTTACACCCTGCCTTGTCGGGTTCACGATGTCCTTCGGCCAGTTTCTCCGACTGTTGGGGCTCTGCAGATGCTCACTGGGGATGGTTGCATCAGCCTGTGGGGCCTAACCCTACCTCTGCCCACAGCCCCTTACTACTGCCTGGCCTCCCAGGAGATAGTAACCCCTCCTGGTCTTAAACAACACCTGGTCCCTAGATACCTTGCACCACAACCCCTGCAAAGGTGGGAAACAAAAGAAACGTTATCAACAACAAAGAAAATATGAAGATGTGCACAAAAAGGGGAAGGTCTCTGCCCTCTTGCCCTCTATACTCGCATCTAGCTCAACAATGCCAGGCCTCAGATGCCCGAGGTCCCTAGGCAGCCATAAACTGGGACCTGGCTAGACTGCCAGCTCCAACGCTCTCCTCCTCACTCTTTGACTTGCCTGTGCATTCACTGGATCCGTGGTGGCCCTTCTCCACACACCTCGCACACATTCCTCATCGGGGGGGCTCTATGCCACTGGGGCTAGTCTTCTGCAGCCCCATGCACTACTTATGCCCTTTGTCCCCCACCTGGGGCGTTTCCTCAAGCTCACCGGAGCCCGCGATGATCCCACCTGGTCTGGCGTCCTGGTGGCTGCTGCTCCCTCCAGAACCCTCCTTCCATTCTTTCTGGTCTACAGGGCCGGGTCCCCAGTCTGAGTGAGGGACAACAGCTTCTTCGCTCCCTGTGCTGCCATCGGCAGCGTTGTTCCTGCAGCGGGCTTCGCTGCATTCCCCCGTGTTGGGAGAGGCAGTTTCCCACTCCTTTTCCCCTCGTAGGGGCTCTGGGAGGGACCTCCCTGTTAAGGTCCCTGCAGATCTCTCCCCCGCTTCCTTGCCAGCGGCTCTTTTTATATCTGCCGGCCGCCTCCTGCCCCAGCGTTATCAGCCAGCCACAGCTGTATAAAGGCGTGGCTAACAAGCTGCTCAGGTCCCGCCTCCATTTTCAGCTTTGCCACGGATCCTGCTACAGGCAAGACGTCTTTTGTTTCTTTCCTTTTACTTTTGCCTTCCCCGGCAGGTTCCTGACCCCAGGGTTCCCCCCTGGCTCCTTGGGGTCTGCCCCTCTGTTTCTCCCCGTGACACATGTGTATACGTACATATATATATGTATATATACACAAATGTGTGTGTGTATCTATATCTATACATAACTATATATGTGTATATCTATATAGCTATATTTTCTATATTTGGAGGAACCTTTTTATGTTCCTTGTTTTATACCCACCTACACACACACAGATACATATACACATAGATATATAGATATAGGTATGCATACACACACACACACACACAGAGATATATAGATACACCCACACATCTATATATGTGTGTATGTATGTATATCTATATCCATATATGTATGTGTGTGTCTCCATTTATATTTATCTATCTGTCTATCTACATATTAGGGCTGTGGCAAAGTTTCGGTCTCTGATTCGATTCGGCAGAGATTCAGCCTGATTCGGTGGCTGAATCTCAGAATCCGAATCAAATCAGGAGACCCTTTATTCTCTCTGAATCGAATCAGAACCCTCCGAATAGATTTGGAAAGATTCGGTGATTTGGACATAGACACAACTTTAAATGTTTTTTCTACATAACTCTAGGTAGCAGGCAGTTCATCAACACTGAGATGCTGGGGCAGATGGAGCATCCCACAGGAGTGCAGGGGGCTCCCCAGCGCACTAGGCAGCAGACCCGGAAGTGGACCAGAAGTACTTCTGGTGCACTGCTGGGTTCGCCACCAAGTATGCAGGGGCTCTCCCCCACATTCCTGTGGGAATCTTCATCTGCTCCAGCATTGCAGCATTCATGAGCTGTGCCTGGTACCTCGAGGTATGTAGAAAAAACATTTAAAGCAGTGTCTATGTCCAAATCACTGATTATGTGAATCAGCATTGAATCTTCAGGTTCAGATTCAGCCAAATCAAATCGAAGACAGTGATGCAAATCAACAACTCAAATCACTGTCCCTGATTTGAGCTGAATCTGAATCCAAATTGAATACAGCTTGTTTTGCACACCCCTACTATCTCTCTATTTATCTCTGTGTGTGTGTAAAACAAGGAACATAAGCTATACATCAGCTTTCCCCCAAAGCTGATATATAGATACCTCTTTACTTACTTTTGACACACTGTTCATTATCTAGCCAACTTAGATTATATATGTTGAGGTTAATTCTTCTATTAACCTGAATGTCACTACTACCAAGATTAAATGCATTAACCTTAGCACTAGCCAAGACAACTACAGTCAAAGAGATGGTTGATAATTATTTATCTAACACTTCTCTCCCTTTACTGGGCCTCTTTCCCTGCTCCTTTCTGTTTCTCACCTTTATATGAAGAGTCTCAAATAAGTTAGTTACAAGATTTCCTGTGTAAATCTTAACAGATACACAACCAATCCTCAGCATGTATAAAACAATATAACTAATATGAAGCAATGCTAATTTAGTCCAGTTGAAAATCTGGCTAAAATCTTTAAAGAATTAAACTTCTTTTAAGGCAGTGGTACCTTCCATTTCTGAACTTCTACTGTCTCTTGGACATAGTAATTTTCCACATGAAATTTGCTGTGTTTCATTGTGCTCCCTTGGGATTTACAACCATGATGGGTGTTGTCTGCATGTCAGCATACGGTGAGGTTGCTATCACACCGTGCTTTAGTACTTCTTTTTGAAAATACTGAAGCACTGCACAGTATGGGCAGTTACTGCACCATGCACATGGCACACAGGTAGATTTTACTGCTTTGTTACCACAGTGCCACGCTATACCCGGGAAGCACACCGCTATGGCGACATAGCTGGAAATCACAGGTAGACACGTGTGATTGCTACATTGCTGTAGCATGCCATATGGCGACAGAGCATATCACTACATTGCCATAGGGCAACGTGTAGACACTCTCAAAGAAAACATATCCCATAAGGAGACCAAAATGCTGACATAACAGTGGTTGGAGACATGCACACAGGTGAAGGGAAATGTAGATTCCATAATAAATCACGTTATTTCCCAAGTCTTCAGTGGGAGTTTAACCACTGACTTCAATGAAGCCAGGATTGCATCCTTAAGTCTCTACAAATTCTGGAAACTCTACACAGCATAGTCTTAAAAATATTTAAGTGAATCTAGTCCTAAAGCTTATACATACTGCTGATACAAGCCTTAAAGGATCAAGGTTTTCAGACTAATAAAATGTCTTATACCACAGAACTCCACGTGGTAAATTTTCTGTTCCTGGAAAAGTTGCTCAAATAAAGTTAACAGACTCCCAAAAACAATACATTTGAGTCCAAAATGTAACATTTGAAGGCACAGAGTTAAGGCAAGCATTTTCAGAGCTCATTGTTACGGCAGCAACCTTGTTGGGTCTAATTCAGAAATAGGATTAATCAAGTCTTTATTCAGAAGCCCATTGATAAAGCCACTCAAGGGACTGGGTTGCTACAACTGAATCTAAATTGGTTGTTTCCTCAAAGGATAAAATAAGTTAGAAAGTGTTTTTGCGTACCTGGGCAGAAGCAGTAATGTTGTTTGTGAATCCTTCCCCACTTACGCACTTGTCTTCAGAAAGGATGACCATGCTGTGTGGGCCAAAAAAGGAAGCTTTACAGCAGCCTACAAGAAAACAAAATTATCTAAGGACCTGTTGAGTTGACTCTCTCACCAACCTGCCAGCTCATCCTGTTGGAGCCAGAGGCACTCCATGTATGCAGTGTAATTTCTTCTCCTAGCGAATGCAAAATCAGGCAAAAAGGATAGCTTACATGCTGGAAGAGTCCATAAAAACAAGAAAAAAGGTGGGCCATGTGCAAAAATATTTTTTAAAAACCGAGTCACTGAAAAAAATGACTCAAAAAATATCATTATATTATTTATCCATTTTTTTCATCCTGAAATTCCAAAGCACTGCAAACAAGAGTACAACCATGGAGCTCAGCTTTTTTAAAAGCACAAGGCAATGCCACACAAGTTTAAGGCACAACTCACACAAACAAAAAAGAATTACCAAAAGCTGGACTCAATAGAAACCAGCTACCAGCTTCAAAGCAGTGTTAATTTTTTTTTTTTTTGGTTGCTGTTTCACCAAAGCTAAAATAGGAAGATGGATCTTCCTCAGTTAGTTTACACAAGACAGGAATGAAGAGAAAAATGACTAACCGGGATCATATGGCTATAGCAAATTTTTCAACCTCTGGACTGCAGATGTGGCCAGTCCTGGTTTATAATGGAAGGGAATGAAACAAAAGAAATAGTTACTGGTTATCTTCCCCCCACCCAAAAAAAAAATATTAAAAAGACATATAATAAAAGGAAAGCACTATTAAAGTCCCAACTTCTTATTATGTAACGTTTAGGATGTGCTTCATTTTTACAGCTCAGTTTATCATGTGTTGGCCATGGGTTATAGCAGGTGGGTTTGATCCCACTGCAGGGTAGTGGAACCAGAGACAGTGGGAAAAAAAACACATTATCTCTTTCTGCTTCATCTGATTTCATGTCTTTGCACACTAAAGGCAGTTTCCAATCAAGAGGTTTAAATGTAGTACCTTAGCAAGAGCGGAAAGCAGGAGGTAACTAAGTATTACCCCTCTCCGAGTGCTGCCAGTTTTTACATGGAAGGATTTTTCTGTCAGTGAGAAACAATCTTGTTAGCTCAGGAAAAAAAAAATCCTCAAGTCAAAGCTGCAAAGTAATAGGAACAAGAAAAACGGAGGTTGACCTGTCTCCTTTTTAAGCTGAGATGAGAGATGCTGCTGTCGATACGTACATTTGAAAGGAAACCTGCTGCTACCCAAAAGGAGAACCGGAGGTAAAGGAGCTACTGCCAGACCCAGCAGCAAAAGCAAGGGAGACAATCTTTACATGTGCTAGCTTCTCCTACAAAGAGGCCCACCACAGCTGTGAAGGCCATAGGGCAATGAAGTAGTCATCTGCCTCTCCCCTACCTAGCTTGGAAAGAAAATATTTCCCAGTGCTCAGAAAAGAAGGCTAAGAGGTCCTCCTGGGCATTGTCTAGTCTTTCTTCAGAAATGGATAGAAGCCCTGAAGCCAGAAAATCAAAATGGTTTACGGTTTTTAAAGATGCGAGAACTTGGCAATGTTTCAAACCTTTATGGGGGAAAAAAAAATCAGGCTGGAGAGTTTCTCACTAGTTATAGCTCCCCGTACCAGTGCGTCATAGGTTAAAGAAGGCCAAGCAAATCTGTAGCCCCTCCAGCAGTAGTCCCCCCCCTCGCCCAGCTCAGGGAAAGTGAAAGAAATGGAAGGCAAGTACTGCTGCAAAGACGACTCCCTACACCTTATCAAGCTTGCATTTAGGGACATGACAGCTATCTTTCGTTTTCAGAGGGTAAAGTTTCGGTTTACCACAAGTGCAGGCGTATGGCGAAAGAAGGGAAGGGAATGATTTGTGTCTCAATGCTTGTGGCTGCAATAATGAAATAATTTCAGGAAAGTCAAATGTAAGGTCCTGCCATAGCTGGAAATTCAAGACCAAAGAAAAGCAAGTGAATTACCCTGAGAGACCGTAGCAGAGGTCAGAGCTCGGGATTCAGGGTTGCTTAGTTCTGCATATTGATCCTGGCCTTTTTCTAGAGTGAGAGAGATTGGAGGGGAAATGGAGAGAGGTTTGAGCAGAAATGATGGGAAAAAAGGGAGCAGCAAAAGGAAAGGAAAAAGAATTAGATAAGAAAAAGTGGTGGGGCGGTGGAGGAAGGAAAAATACAGTGAAATAAGCAGAAGGAAAGGATGAGGAGAAAAGAAACAATGAGGATGAAGAAACCAAAGTCTTGTTGAGAGGGACTAGGCCCTTGGCTCCCATACTGCCCTGTCTTCTGGAGCTACCAAATGAATTGTATCTCAGGCGTCTGAAGTTTAGGTCAATCTGACTGCAGATTAGACATATGCCACCCAGTCCATGTTTAGTTTTATTTCCCATAAGAGGTTTATAATGTGAAACTAAAGGCACGAGGGGATCTAATGTTCAATTCACACAATCATGCCTACTGCCATGCCACATGTGCATGGCAGGAAGAGCAATCGTGGGATCACGCATTAGATCCCATCACAACTTATTGCTGGCGCAAGGGGAGCCCAATTGTGCCTTCTTGTGGTTGCAGGGGGAGCTCCCAAAGCTGGGAGCCTCACACAACCCAGTAGAGAGGCTCTGAGCTACAGGGGTGCCCCATGCACCCCTGGGGCCAGAGGAGAGCTGCTGCAGTGATCTCCCTACTCCAGGGGTGCAGGAAACCCCCCCAAGAGGAGGGAGAACCCCATGGAGCCAGAGGATCACCACAGTCCTCTAGCCCCTAGAGGAGGGTTCCCATGCCCCTGAGCCCTGGGGATTGCAGAAGTCATGATCCCCAGGGTCTGGGCATTTCCCATTCTCGTGATCCCTAGGGCTCTTGGCTGTGGGAAACCCATGAATCCTGGGAACTGCAGCTGCTGGGATCCCTACGGCTTGGGGGTTTTATGCTGAGCATATTGCACCCCTACAACTGGGAGCCCCATCAGCAGATGGAGCTCTCAGCCACAGAGAAGACCCTGCTACATTAAATTAAAGCTCAATACCAATCAACTATAAAGTGAACACACATTTTTTAGGTCTAACTTTATAGTCGGTTGGAGTTTTTTTTATTGTGTGATAGCTGCTTTGCATGTGTAGCTGGTCTCCAGGTAATTGCACAATACCTGTAATGTGTAGAGGAGGCCATACAGATCAATACGGTCTGACACAGCCACTATAACAAGAATGAAGGGACATGCAGAAAAGGGTTTTGAATTTGAGTGTCTGGTCTCCCTCACAAATTACAGTCCTAACCCTGGGACAGGCTTCTGACATGAAGCTGCTTCTATCCCTCTTGGTACTGGTCCACTTTGTATACCAGACTTTAAGATTCATTGAGGCAGAGACAAGCTAGGTAGGTAGATGTGGGTACCTTTAGGGCAGAGGAAAACATTGAAGCAAGGTGTGAGTCTCATAAATGAGAACTCTCACCTCGGAGCTACAAACACCTATCTTCTTGTCTGGCAGCTTTGTAAGAAACTTCCTTCTATTTTGTGCATGCCAAAACTATTGCCTGAATTCAGGTGGAATTTATGAATATTTCAGGAAAACCAAAATTGAACTTTTCAACCAATTTGCTATTCCCTGGAAAAAAAAGATTCACCCAGCTCTAAATGTCACTGCCTTGTTCCCTCCCCTTTGGCAGGTCAGGCATGCATTTTGAAGCATTTTACCGTTCACTCCATAGATGAAAGAAGTATAGTTTGCAGCAGTGCAGAGATGGCAGGGGAATTTATGCCTTGGATGACGACACATTTTTCAGCGTACTCTCAGCTCATTTGTGTCAGAATCTAAATCTCATTTACACCATGGCTGAAAGTGCTAAAATCCACGGATCTGCACTTCTGCCTTAGTTGTTTCATATTGTATGAAGATCCAAGAATTAGCAGAGTCAGATATGGAATATACGCATACTCTATCATTTAGATCATTTTTAAAATCAATTTTTTCCTTCCTGAGTAATTTTGAAATCTTCACTTAAGGAGCTTTTTGGTGCTTTTTGGTTTCATGTACTTATAATCTCATGCATTCACCATTCCCAGAACCCATCCAATGGGTAAAAAAGGATATAGGAAGAACACTACCACAAAAAGCAGCCTTTTTTTTTATTTGACTGAACTGCTGATACTCAGAAACAAACTTTTATGGCAGCACAGTAAAAAGCTAGTGACAGATGGTATTAATCAGTTAAAAATAAATCTCCTTTATGCATCCAGCTTTTATACTCATTCAACAAATCATTAAATCTGCAATATATTTGCATGTGTGCTGTGCATTGCGGAACAATGACTGCCACACAATTTTCTTATCCTGCTAACATTCATCTATAGCCACCACTGTAGATAGCATGGGAAAAATCTTAACCCTCTTGAAATAGGGGACATATTTCTCAATTATTTCAGTGCACCAAAATTTCACCCAGCTTAATACAAGATGCCAGCTGAGAAGGTCCTGAGACAAAAGAGTATAAGAAAACTTGCCCAAACTTTGAAAATATTTAGAATAGCATCTGAACAATATGTCATAAACCCATATTCATTAGCCTGGTATTAATTTATACATTATCTCCTTCGCATCACTAGAGACTGGACTATGGTTGCCTAAATCCATCTCATGGTGTGATGTTTTCTCACATAACTTTGACTTTGATTGTAGAGTTGAAATCATCCCTAAGTCA